GGTTCAATTACCTAAAAATTAAAAGAGTGGTGATAAGTTTCAACTATGTTTAAAATGCAAGAATTAAATGTTTGTATTTTCTGACTTAAATGTGTTAATGTAACTGAATGAGATGATGAGCTCAAGTTAGAATCCCTTGTAATAATCCTTGAATTCTAGGATTGCAACAATGACCATTAGCTTAATGAGGAACATTTTAAAACCTTTAAAGTGTTGTGAAATATTGCATGCAATGATCACTATGAATCTAAGCCAAGTGGAGTGAAATTAATAATGTGATTCAGCCTTGTTCATAGCCATTTAATTCAGACCAAATTAAGTGACAAAAAACATCTCAAACTAAATTCATATAAACATATATGGATCTAGCTTGAAATATGAAGAAATTTGAACAAGAACATTAAGAACATATGAACACATTCAAGAACACTCAATTGAATTCCTAAATTCTAGAATTGAAAAACAATATTAAATTTCAATCCAACATCCACAACTTCAATCTACTATATAATTAGAAGGCAAATTTGAAATACTCAAACTACAAGTTCATCTTCCTTGAAGCTCAAAGGAGAATCAGCCTCTCATGTTCTTCCTCTTCACTTGAATCAAAACTTGAGAAGCCTCCATAAATGTATGAAGATGAAGATGAGATCTGAAATTAGTGTGTGCTGGATGAAATTATGGAAAGGGGAATATAGTAGACGAAAATTTGGAGGAGAATGGCTGAAGATCTGGATGTGAAATGAAGGAAGAAGGAGAAGAGATGGATCTGGACTTAAGAGGATAAAGAGGATGGCATGAGAATGAATCAAGAAGATGAGAGAAAAATTGAGCTAAAGAGAGAGAATGGGATCTAAATTATGAGACTCTAATATGAAAAATAGGCTTATGTATGTGTGAATAATGTGAAGGTGATAAAACCAAAGTGAATGGTGATAAAAATAAGAAAAGTCTAGATCTAAAATGGCTAATTTCCAATTGGAAAATGAGATTAGAATTGAGCAAATAATTTTAAAAAATGCAAGGTAAAGTGGTGCACAAAATGCTAATCATGAGCATGGGAAATGTGACTTGATGATGTCTAAAAACGTGACTCTCCCAGCTTGCTTCAGTTCCATGTGAATTCTTCATGAATTCAGTTATGAAGTCACGCCTCTTATGCACTTGGTTTGCCTCATTATAATGTCAGCTATTGCTTCCCATTGAATCAGATTTCTATTCACGCATCATGTGCTCCTTCTCCTCTTTTCTTATGATGATGTCATCTAATATATTCCTTGGATCAGATTATACTTCACGCACATGTGCTCTTGACTTGCCAATTATTTATTAGTTTTATCAATGAATTTTTAGAATTAGGCTTGCCAACTCAACCATTAATTAAATTTAGAATGACACCATTCAGCCCTTTCATTGCTCTTAACTTCTCCAAAATTGTTGACTAAATCTTTGCTCCTTGATTCCAAATTTGTTTCCTCAAAGATATGAAAAAATAAAAGATATAAAACTAAATAAAATTCTAGAAAGACAAATTAAAATGGAGAGAAAAGAGAATTAAGGCCCAAGATCTCAATTAGGGTATGAAAGTGTTAAAACAATCATCAAATAACATTATTAGGGTTTATAGAGTCAATATAGAAATGGTAACTAAAAACTAGGAAATAAACCCTAATATGCACTATTCGATGCCAAAAACCAAGTGTATAATATGTAAAATATGAGATAGATCAATTCCCCCACACTTGGATTTTGCTCTCCGGGCAAAACTCTCTAAAACCTAAAAAAGAAAATAACACGAAGATATAAGTTCTTAAGAGTAAATCCAATTTTCAAAGTCAATACACCATCACAAGAACCAAAGTAATATTGCAATCTTTAGAGAAAACCTTAATACATCATAAGTAAACCATTTGCAAGAACGTAATCTCAAAGAGAAACCTCAGTGGATTAGTGTTTCACTCAAGCACTCGGCGTATAAGGGTACAAATATCACTCAAGTTCCTTGGCAAGTCATCATACCATAGGCTTGTAATCCCTCTATCTTTCCACTTCTGAGATGCAATGGTTCTTAAGAATCATATGAACTTTCACAAGGATGTAATATGCTCAATGAAAGGTAAACTTTGATTTGCATGTGAAAGGGATAGGGATTGGCTCAAGAAACTTGTCTTGGCCACAATGTAAATATGCTCAATATACGAGACTACTCAAAACTAAATCAAATAGATAACATAATACGGATCATAGATGGAGTGAATAAATGGCCAAGAGTGAAGTAGATAGTGATAATAGAGATGAGATGTGAATCTATAAGTAGGAACAAGTGAATCAAATAACAAATCCAAGATAGCTTGCTTATTTAAACTCTTTCTTTTGATTTTCTTTGATCTACTTTAGATCTCTTTTTCTCAAACATATTTTTTTTCTTTTCTATAATCTTCTCCTTCTTTTCTATTACTTTTTTCTTTCTGTTTCTCATACTTAATTCTTGCTATTTGTTTGTTTTTTATTTTGTTTTATTCTCTTTGTTTCTCAAGTCATAGCTTCCAATACTGGGGTACAACTCAAGAAATATTCCTTAATCATAACAATGGAATGGTATGGCCAATGTGAATGAGTGAAACAGATCCCACTAGATGTTATCTACTAGTTTAATTAAAAATAGTCAATGCACATTGAAACATACCAAATGAAAATACATGCAATCTATCCAAAATAGGTCAAGGTTTTAAAAATGACAAAAATAAAGAAAGGCTCTATTTGGCTAAGCAAGGGATAATTAAGTAATCAAGGGTTAGCTAAAAGGCCTTAGGCACTTTAATGATGGCCATAATCACTTTCCCTACAACCAATGCACAAGTATAGCCTCAAGTAAGAGAGAAAACAAGTTCTAGAGGATTAACAAAACCAAGGAACATAGAATTCTCAATAGTTGAAGGCCCCTTCCATACGGTTTATTCTTGCCTCTCTCAATCAATTACACTCAACCAAATATTTTCTAGCTTCAAAAGAGATTTAAACTAAAAAAAACATCTCAAGAGTTCAAACTCAACTACAAAAACTAAGATCATCTTCAAAACTCAAGATTGCTTACAAAACAAAAGTTTTTTTTTCCTAAAACACCCTTTCTCCTATACTTAAACAATGCATTGTCCTTAATGCATGCAAAACACATAATGGAAAGAATTAAATTAAATCTGTACAGCATGTAAAAGTGTGGAAAAAGGTCTTTTTTTTTCTAAAACCCTAAACTAAACAGAAAAGAAAATAAAAGAAAACAAAGGACCAATAAAAACTAACATAGAAAAACAAAGAAAAAGAAATTTTGAAATTTTTTTTAAAAAAACTAATGAATTAGGTTGCATCTTTCCCCACACTTGAACTCAAAATGATATTCACAAACATAGACACAACAAACAATGGTGTACCACATGTATGTATATGTGATAGCAAGTATATCTCAATTAGTGATCCACTTGTGTGCTTTGTGAATTAATCAAATCAATCAAAAAGAAAAAAGAAGGAGAGATACAACCTTTAAAGACTCATGGAGGATCGTTGAATTTCATTTTAGCAAGCAATGTGGAAGATTCACCCTTATGAAATTTCTTGCACAAATGGCCATTTTCCTTGAATAATAAGCCACTTTGAGGATCTTTGAGGGTGAGAGTGCCATAGTAAAAATTTCCTCCACAATGTAAGGGCCCTCCCATTTGGATTGAAGTTTACCACCAATGAACTTGAGCCTTGTCTTGAACTTTAGCACTTTATCTCCCACTTAAAAATGCTTCCTTAAAATACATTTATCATGAATGAATTTTTCTCTTTCCTTGTGCAATTTAGAGCTGTCATATGCTTCCACTCTTAACTCCTTAAATTCTTGAAGTTAGAGCTTCCTAGAGGTAGCTTCACCCTCCTCACCAAATGCACAAGCCTTCACAACCCAATAGACTTTGTGCTCAATCTCTACCGGGAGGTGACATTGCTTACCATAAACCAACCTAAATGGAGACATCCCAATGGGTGTCTTGAAGGTGGTCCAATATGCCCAAAGAGCCTCCTCAAGTCTTGAGCACCAATCCTTCCTATTTGGTCTCACAATCTTTTAGAGGATAGACTTGATCTCCTTATTCAAACACTCGACCAACTCATTTGTTTGAGGATGATATATGGTTGCCACCTTATGTAGAACACCATTTTTCTGAAGCAAAGAGGAGATAGTCTTGTTGGAAAAGTGTGTCCCTTGGTATGTGATGATTGCTCTTAGGATGCCAAACCTGTAAAGCACATAAGATAAGAGAAACTTTGCCACAACTTTGGTATCATTATTTCTAATGGGGATAGTCTCAACCAACCTAGAAACAAAATCAACACAGAGCAATATATATTCACAACCATTGGAAGAGGAAAAAGGACCTATGAAATCTATACCCCAAACATCAAAGATCTCACAAAATATAATGGGCACCTGTGGCATCTCATGTCTCTTTCCCAAACTCCCAAAATGTTGACATGCATGACATGCTTTACAAAATTGATGTGCATATTTAAAAAGAGATAGCCAATATAAACCACAATCTAAGACCTTTTGCCCGGTCCTCTTAACCCTAAAATGAAAATAACCACTATATCCATCAAGAAAGCAATAATGATATTTCCCCCTAATCTTTCTAACATTTGATCAATAAATGGCAGAGGGAAATGATCTTTCTTGGTTGCCTCATTCAACCTCCTCTAATCAATGCATGCCCTCCAACTATTTTGTACCCTAGTTGGAATCAACTCATCATGTTCATTCTTTGCCACAGTAATTCCACTCTTCTTGGACACAACTTGCGCTGGAGATACCCATTCACTATCACTAATAGGATAGATTATACCTGCACTCAAAAGTTTGGTGACCTCCTTCTTTACCATATCAAGTATGAGAGGATTCAACCTTCTTTGTGGCTGCCTTATTGCCTTAGCATTTTCATCCAACATAATCCTATGTCCATAACCTTCATTAAGATGTCTTCCAAGAATCCATTAGGCTTCTTAGTGCTCCGGTCGGCTAGTTGCAAGATGACACTACAATCTTGATGACCACTAAGATTAAGGGAAGAATAAATGTGAGTGGGCATCACATTGATGGTTGCCCCTAGATCAATCAAGGCTTCTTGAACAAACACATTCCCTATTTGATAAGGAATGGTACATGCCCCTGGATCTCTACACTTTAGAGGGAGTTGTGGCTTGAAAACAACACTAATATTAAGATTCATTTGAACTGTAGCTAATGATTTGAATCTCCTTTTATTAGTGCACAACTCCTTCAAAAACTTTGCACACTTAGGCATGCTTTTTATCATGTCAAGAAGTGGTATGTTCACTTCCACCTTCTTCAACATATCAAACACATCATGCCTATCTTCTTCTTGCCCTTTCTTAGCAAATCTAGTCAAGGCCTTAGGGAATGGCATATCCCTTAGAATAGGGTCCCCAATTTGATATTCTTTTGGAGGCTCTCTTCTTCCTAACACCTCTTTCTCCTTAGGCTTACTTGAATCATTTTCATTTGCCTTAGAAGAAGGATGAACTGTGTCTGTTCTAGCATTGTCTTGGCCTTGACTTGAGCTCAATTTTACCTCTTTTTCTGGAGCATTTAGGGTTGATCTTGCCCCATTTTCATCCTCAAATACAATGTCTTTAATAGAATCATCCTTATCATCAATCACTTGAAGACTTAGAGAAGTAGGAGGCGTGTTCTTAATGCTATTTGAGGCACTTGGATGAATATTAATCTTGCTGTCACAGCAAGTGAAATCATGTGGATCATCAAGAGAAAATGGGCTTCCTTCACAAATTTGAGAATTCCTTGTAACAAACTCATTTGGCTTGTTGCCATCATGGTTTGAGGCACTTAGAATGACTTCAAGAAGTCCTCAACTCAATTGTACAAAGGCTCTTTGGATTGATAACAGGATGAGTTAGGAGCTTTTCACTTCCTTGAGCTTGGCTAATGCTATTTGAAACCTCAAATTATTGCACCACCAAATCAGTACTTTGTTGCTTTGATTCAAGATTGTCAAGCCTCTTAAACATCATGTCCATTTTTGATTTTGCCTAGGTATATGAGAATTAAACTTTTGGCCCAAAGAAAACATAGCATCACCCATCCTTTCAAGGTAGGAATATATTTGTTTATCACCCCCACCATCTTGAATAGGGATCACTTGAGAATTCTTAGCTTGCAGAAGCTCTTGGTTACCCTTATAGCTAAAGTTAGGGTGCTGCCTCTAACTTGGGTTATAGATGCTCCCATATTTAGCCTCAAAATTGTTCTTTGCCCCTTGATTCTGTTGATAATTGTTGGGCCTTTGTTGTTGATACATAGCCCCAACATCTTGAGCATGCATGCAATTAGAGGTGACATGCATTGTGGAATTGCATATACCATAAATAAGAGCCACTAAAGCATTAGAAATAGAAGCAATTTGAGCTTGTGGAGGATTAGAGATAGACATCTTGAGAAAATTCAATTGAGAGTAGATATCCTCTAATTGGGAATTAGCAATAGGAGATTGGCCCACTTAGTGAACACTGCTTGCATCTCTTGAGCTATATTGTTGGTTATTATTTGCAAGCTTTTCCAATAAGGTCCATGCATCATCCGGTGGAAGATCTAATAGTCAGCCATTTGCAGTAGCATCTATGGTCTCTCTATCATGAATTTGCAAACCCATATGGAAATAATCAATAAGGAACTCCTTGCCTACATTTAGGTATGGACACTTTGCAAGCAGCTCAAGAAACCTCATCCAATACTCATAAAGAGATTCTTGAGGGTGTTGTTGAATTCCCATGATTTTTTCCTTAGTTGAGAATACTTGGTTGCTAGAAAATATTTTTCAAGAAAGCAATTTCGCATCTCCACCCAAGAATTGATGGTCCTTGTGGCAAGAGTATTAAACCATGTGATTGCTTTCTCCTCAAGAGTAAAATAGAAGACCTTGAGCATTAAATTCTCCAAGTTTGTTGTGGGAGGCTTCATGGTTAAATAAACCCTCTCAAGTATTTGAAGATGCCTGTTAGAATCCTTACCTACAAGGCCATGGAATTTTGGCGAAGCATTAATCAGTGATGGTTTGATTTCATACTCATTTTGTTCTTGTAAATTTTAAAAACAAACCACTTGGTCTAAATGTGTCAGTGGGTGCTACCATCTCTCTAATACTTCTCCTAGCAGGTATTTTATGTTCATTAGCATGTAATCGATCAGCCATAGTGTCTAAGATTACAGAATTATCAACTATGGTGTCTAAAAGATGAGAAGATGCTAAGAACTCTAAGTATTGATCTCTAAATCCAATATAATTTTCACCAAGTTTTTTGAAAGTCTTACAAGACATATAAAGCTAAAAAAACCATAGAAATATCATTAGATTGAAGAAAAATCAAAACTTTGAAAATAGGCAAAAATTCTGAAAATTGGCAGAATTGAAACACATTGAAGCAGTACTTTTGTAAAATTTTGTTGAAAGTGAAAAAGATGAAATTAGAAAAAAATAAAAAAAAAATTAAAGATAAAACACTAAATTAAATTCAAGAATTTTTACAAACAAAATTTCCAAGCAGGGAGAGAGATATGCTCATCTAAAGTCAGCCTTGTTTGCCTGGGGTGTCACTGGGAGTCAGCAGTGGACCTTATGTACTTTTTTAGTGCACAACTCTCTAGTCCTAAATCAAATTGAGCTGACATTTTTACCTAAAACATTTAACAAATAGAAGGTTATACAGTCTAATTTTCAAGTAAAATTTTATAGTCAATTCTTCCTAATATTTTTTCGAATTAGGGTTTGCAGCACTAGAAATTCTAGTGAACCCTATTTTAGTCAAGCAAAAGTTTAACCAACTTAATGGCCACATTAGCAATTGTTTTCAATGGAAAAAATGTTTCTAAGACAACTAGGAACACAATGAAATAAGAATAAGCTCAAAACAATATGTCTAGCAAAAATTATACTTATCTAAATTTCGTGCGAAATTTTTAGGCAGAGCAAATTTTCACAACTTGCTGTCACTTGAGCTAACCTTGTCAGTTTTGGAACTCACATCTAGAATCAATGACTTAATGGCTAAATCTAGCAGTAAATAAGATCAACAAAGAGATCAAGTGCTCAATTACACGTACTAGCCACCATTGTCACAAATTCCAAAGTTATCATAAATGAATCCCAAATTAAAAATAGCAATTGAAACCACAATTAGTATGGCTAGTTGCTCCCCAGCAATGGTGCCAATTGATGAAATGCTAAATCACTTTAGGCCATCAAATAAACTAGAATGTAGCCGGGAGCATTCTAGGTCATCTCCTAAGAGAGCAATGCACACAAATGATGGTTCAATTACCTACAAATTAAAAGAGTGTTGATATGTTTTAGCTATGTCCAGAATGCAAGAATTAAATATTTGTATTTTGTGATTTAAATATGTTGATGTAAATAAATAAGATGATAAGCTAGAGTTAGAATCGCTTGTGATAATCCTTGAATTTTAGAATTGCAACCACACATATAATGGCAATTACCTTAATGAAGAACACTCTAAAACCTTTAAAGTGTTGTGAAACATCGCATCTAATGATTACTATGAATCTAAGCCAAGTGGAGTAAAATTAACAATGTGATTCAGCCTTGTTCATAGCCATTCAATTCAGACCAAATTAAGTGGCAGAAAAACTTCTCAAACTAAATTCATATAAACACATTCAAGAATACTCAATTGAATTCATAAATTATAGAACTAAAACACAATATTAAATTTCAATCCAATATCCACAACTTTAATCTAACATGTAATTGGAATCAAAATCATAATCCAACCGAACAATAACTTTGAATCCTTGAAAGAAAATAAAAGGGATTATATAATTGAAATTATAAATTAAGAAGGAAAATTTAAAATACTTAAACCATAATTTCATCTTCCTTAAAGCTCAAAGGAGAATCAGCCTCTCATGCTTTTCCTCTTCACTTGAATTAGAACTTGAAAGCCTCTATGAATGTATGAAGATGAAGATGAGATCTAGAATTGGTGTGTGTTAGAGGAGAATAGCTGAAAATCTGGATGCAAAATGAAGGAAGAAGGAGAAGAGATGGATCTGGACTTGAGAGGATAAAGAGGATGGCATGAGAATGAATCAAGAAGATGAGAGAAAAATTGAGCTGAAGAGAGAGAATGGGATCTAAATTATGAGGCTCTAATATGGAAACTAGGCTTATATATGTGTGAATAATGTAAGGTGATAAAACCAAAGTGAATGGTAATAAAAACAAGTCCAGATCTGAAATGGCTAACTTCCAGCTGGAAAATGAGGTTAAAATTGAGCAAGTAATTCTGAAAAATGCAAGGTAAAATGGCGCACAAAATGCTGATCATGAGCATGGGAAATGTGACTTGGTGATGTCCAAAAATGTGACTCTCCTAGCTTGCTTCAGTTCCACGTGAATTCTTCATGAATTCAGTTATGAAGTCATGCCTCTTATGCACTTGGTTTGCCTCATGATAATGTCAGCTATTGCTTCCCATTGAATCAGATTTCCATTCACGCATCATGTGCTCCTCCTCCTCCTTTCTTATGATGATGTCATCCAATATATTTCTTGGATCAGATTATACTTCATGCAAATGTGCTCTTGACTTGCCAATTATTTATTTAATTTCATCAATGAATTTCTAAAATTAGGTGTGCTAACTCAACCATTAATTAAATTTAGAAATGACACCATTTAGCCATTTCATGTGCTCTTGACTTCTCCAAAATTGTTGACTAAGTCTTTGCTCCTTGATTCCAAATTTGTTTCCTCGAAGATCTAAAAAAATAAAAGATATAAAACTAAATAAATTCTAGAAAGATAAATTAAAAAGGAGAGAGAAGAGAATTAAGGCCCAAGATCTCAATTAGGGTATGAAAGTGTTAAAACAATCATCAAATATCATTATTAGGGTTCATAGAGTCAATATAGAAATGACAACTAAAAATCGAGAAATAAATCCTAATATGCACTATTCAATGTCAAAAATCAAGTGTATAATATGTAAAATATGAGATAGATCAGCTTGCTAATGCTTGTTCGTGCCTTTCCAACATGAGCCCTCCCTTCATTTGCAACACTTTTGAGAAGCCTACTGGAGGTTGCCAACGCTTCCACCTCCCGTGCCAATACTTGCCACAAGCTTGCCGTGGGTTGCCAACACTTGTTCCTGTCTTGCCAACAGTTGTGATGAACCCCTTAGTCACCTTGGGTTATCAAATTTTTACTAGAATGTAGAAATGAGTATTCTAGGTCATTTCCATAGGGAGCAAAGCATTTAAAGAGTTATTTCAATTGTAACAAGTTAGAAAGGTTCAAGTAGTCAAAACTAAATCTAAATGCAAGAATTAATGTTTGTGAATTTTCTGTTTAGATGTGATTAAGTGAATGATGATTATGGTGAGCCCAAGTTAGATTTCCTAACATTAATCATTGATTCCCAAAATTATAACATCATAAACCTTCTTGATTAACCTAAAATGAGACACTTAGAAACCTCTAAGTGTGGTGCACCATTAGACTCAATAGACACTAATGAATCTAGGTCAAGTAAATTTAGAAATTAACACTATGTTCAGTCTTGTTCTACACGAGTTTCAGACCAAAACTAGTGGAAGAAAAACACCTAAAGTAAAATTCATAAAACCAATATGGATCTAACTCAAGTCTACATTAGAACTTAAACAAGAATTAGCAAGAACTTATGAAATAACCTTAGAATATCAAGGTAAATCATAAATTCTAGAACTAAACATAGCATAAAAATCAAAACTCAACATTCATGTTCTCATCAAATCTAAAGTAGAATAACAAATTCCTTAACTAAACATAGGTTCAAAATCAAATCCTCGAAGAATCAAAATAAGAACATGAAATCAAGAAAATGAATAACAATTACAAATATGGAAATCTCATAATGCCAAGTCATCTTTTTTGGAGCTCTAAATGATTAGCCTCTCATGTTCCTTTTCTTCAACTAAATTGGACCTTGAACTTGAGAGAACTCCATGAATGTTGAAACATGGCTAAATAGGGCGTGATTTTCAGTGCTGGATTTGTGGCTAAAATGGACAAAATTGGTACATGAAGATAGAAGTGGCTAGACGTATTAATGAAAGATAGAAGATGGAAGAATCAGATTTGGACTTTATGTATGCTGGACGAAATTGTGGCAAGAAAAGAATCAAAGCTGGACATGAATGGATAAGAAGAAGAAGAGAGAAAAAAATGAGAGAAAACATGGCTAAAGAGAGAGAGTGGAATGTGAAGAATGAGGCTCTAATATGAAATCTAGGTTTATGTATGTATGGATAATGTGAATGGGTGACAATTCCAAAGCTAAATGGTGATGAAACTAAAGTTCCAGATCTGAATGGAAAAATGAATTAAAATTGAGCAAATAAATTTGGAAAATCAGAGGAAGAATGGTG